TAACTGGTTATCTACACATAGCTTAATATTAATGAGTTTATCAACTTCGTGCTGTGTATCGGTTAAGGTAAAATTACGTAAAGCAACTTGTAGTACTTATATACAATTATACGCATATATATTGTCAAATTCAGTAAAAGTTGGCTTTAATGACCGTATAAAAGTTAGGAAAAATGCTATTAATATCATATCAGATACTCATAAAAGCTATCGTTTCGTAAGTATTATAATGGTAGTTGAATATACTGCTTGAAAATATCATTTATTCCTAGCCATAAATTAATTCTTACAGTTATACCATCTCAGAATTATATTTATAAAGCTGATGAATCCGTACAAAGTATATAACTGACATTCTCATCACACTAATTATTCTTCTCTATTACTAATTACCAGCTCGTTACCATATTTCGAAAATATTCCTAGTCGACGATAAATCCATGCAAGAAACACCATGGAAAAGTTGCATTACTTTTGGATCTATTGCCGATAAAGAAATACCACCAGCCATCTTTTGTCTTAAACATAAAAAAGGTGGATCAGATGATGATTATGATGTAGTATTTAGGGTACGTAGACTAGAGTAAGACTTCTTCGATTTCATATTTAAATAGCAGTTATATAAATTGAACAGAGTGTTAGCTTATTGACAGCAAAACAGAGTCGACATGCAATTTATATTTCCTGTAATAGCTATTTGTAAACTAGGCCAATAAAAGAATTGGTAGTAGTAAGCTTTAGATAGGATACTGTAATAATGAGAATAAGAGCATCAGCTACTCTAAATAATTTATTCTAATAAATAAATGAAATGAATCATTTAGCATCCTGAATTATATTACACTTGCTTTTCGCCAGCGTCTGAATAAAACGAGTGTAAAAGAGGTTTTGAAGGAGATCCAGAAAATTAACAACGACAAGAATTTTGTTTGCCTATTCGATTTATATTTGGTTTCTAGTAACGCTAATTTTCAAAGGTTGTGCTTACGAGTGGCAAAAAAAATTGGTGATAAGTCAATCCAGTATACGGTTTGTTTTGATGATCATGTAGATAATGATGAAAATATGAACGATGGCGATAAAGTATGTGCTCATCTAGTAAATTGTCCTATAGGTTATCTTCCAACTCAGTGTATATTAAATTTAGCTAAAGTCAGCGTATAAAATACGATATCTGTCTACAAAGCCTGTTTCTGTTATCAAGTTCAGTTAATGCTATAGCTATATAGACAGCTTAGTTCAGTGCTACCCTGATAAATATCATTCAATGCTCCAATTATTTTCTTGACTGCAACCACAACCTATGTACTATTCCCGAATGGAACGATTTTCCTAGATATTTTCCGATAATTCTGATAAAATACAATAATTTAAATCATAAAATCAAGTACATATTAAGAAAAAAATCAGTCGTTAGTATGTTGTTAGTATCACTTTAAATGTATCTGTATTGCCAGTAATTTCGCCTACAAAAATTAATAAAATTTATCAATTTTACTTCGAGTGCCTATTTGAAAAATTTCTAGCATTAAAGATACACTGTAGTAAGCTCTATCATAACGAAATTCGAAAATCGGCTATCGTCAGGTCTAAAAGATTACAGTTATTCTATTTGCAAAATTTTTTCTCCCATGATTATTTCTATGGAATAAACAGTTAATAACGACTAAAATAGGTATAATAATTCAAATGAATTTCCATTTATTTGCATTCGTTGGAATTTAGTGGTCTCTTGTAGATACTTTGTCTTATTTTACGCATTAGGCCAAGTGAAGGTAGTCCTACGAGCCGTGAAGCAGAATTGCATATAGCAGTTACGAGATAAGTTGTGTACATCCTAAAGCTTTCTTTATACTCTAGATAATTTATTCATTATTTCAAAGGTGCTAGCCCAAAAATCTCAATTGCATCGTCAGTTCCAATGTAACATGGTAATTTAAAATCTTGATATTAGGAAAATTAAAGCTTAGAGCTAGTTATTAGTAGAAATTAAATATATTATGCTGTTACTTTAAGATGAAAAATCAATAAAAATAAATTTACCAGTTTTCACCTTTAGTCTTGACGTATATAATAAATATTTAGATTTAATGCTCTATCTTAATAAGATGGAAGACTACCTATTGACAAATCAAGGAGATTATGATCATTTTTACTACAAGAATTTTGTTGTTCCATCGCTATTTTTATTCCTTAAAGGATTAATAAAAACTTCCGAAAGTATAACAATAAAATGTTATTTCTTTTCTTTTCATCAGATTGATCTCTCGTAATACTGATATCTTATGCTACGTGATATTGCTAGCAAAAATATTTTTACCGGTCATCGAATAGTAAGATGAGAGATATCGAGGAAAACTGTTTGCATTCCGAATTATTTCTTAACACTCTCGACAATTCTTATACCTTTACATCCCTGCTTAATTACCCAAAGCCAAAAATTAATAATACCAATAAAATACATTCTGGATGATAATTGCGTGTACTCGGGAACTGGTAGTATACTACTCTAATTCATTCCTTTCATACTATTATATCTTGTTAATTAATCATACTGAATCATTAGCAATTGCTCTTAGGATGGAAATGGCTAATAAATATTGATGAAATCACGTCAATTATTGCAGCGTGAAGCAAAGTAAGGATAAATATATTGAGAATTATTCGATGCGAGAAAAATTGTTTATTAGGGAATTCTTTCCCCTCTCAATAGCGTAGAGAAGTTCAACTATCATTGAATGAATATATATCAAGTAGATTTGGATTGCAACTGCAAGCATAAAATATTGACATATATTCTAAAGATAATCTTATTCACTGCAAAACATAAAAACCTTGCTGTAATCCTATTCCTACGTGATTCTTTGCTACGAATGAGCTTTTCCAATGTTTAGATATTCCTATAAAGATGTTATTAGTGCATATGAGTCAACGTTCGATCTATTATAATTTAAGCAGGGTTTAAAATTGTGCAAAAAGTAATGACAGTAAATGAGTAAAGGTCTTTATAAAGTATAGAACATAATAATTATGAATAATGGAGTCAGAGTTTGATTAGTTAGCACTTAATTTCTCTACACTTGGAATTTATGACTGTAAAATTTGCAATCTGTCTTTATTTGGGTCGTAAAATTAAAATTTTCAGAGTATATTACCAAATATCTCATTATCTAGCACTCTTGGTCTTCATTTTATGTATAAAGTAACGACAGATTTCAGCGAGGACAGCTGAACTTGTAGATCAATCGTTATTTGATAATGTGTAACGTCGAATAGTGCCGAAAATAAAATAGATTAATCAACCAACATTAGCCGTAACTAAATGATTACATAAAATAGTTCTCATTGGCGCTAAAACAATGTTAGCATAAAGCAAGTGCCACCTCATCATATTGGTTGACAATATAAACTAAATTATTTTCTTTTATCGTCAGTTATGTATGAAAACTAATTGCTAATCTACATCTGGCAAATATTATCTTTTCTCCGATAATAAAATACAGCCTTTAGGTTGTTATATAATATTTTTTATAAAAACAAACATCGAGTAGCTTGAATTTTATTTGTAATGTAGCATCGCAAGTAGGAAGTTTGAGCTGCAGCAAGTCGTAAGAATGAACCGGATTGTATCCTCCAAAACCGGTATTAAAAACCTAATAAGAAAAAGTCAGAAGACCAAAATAAGCGCAATTCAAGAAGTGGCGATCAGCCAACACTCTGTAGGTGATGTTAGATACTGCGTTAAGTCAGGAAAAGTTTAATAGAATATTTTTTAAATACAGTTTCTCCATGATAAATTTATGGTTCCGTTAATGTTACTAGAAGGGAAAAAGCGTTAATACGAAGGAATTCGTATTAAAGATTAGATTTACTTTTTACTTTACAGATATTCTTCATGAAGTTGAACAAAACCAAATGAAATTTATCTTAAGTTCATTTAACATGACATTTGAAATCGCTTCTGGCATTAATGCAATACAATAATTATTGATTTATGTTTAGCAAAGAATCTAAACCTATCATAAAGCAGAAACATATGTAATAGACATGTGAAAAGCTGTGCAATGGTGAGTAGTTTACCGTCCAACTTGAATACAGGCATTTGATTAATTATTGTCATAGCATAAATATTAAACAACTATCAGCGATGATAAGCACAAAGAATACTTTGTAAATAATTAATTTCACGGGAAAATAAATATGTCACTCACACCCTCGTATTTCGTCATCAATCGTTCTTCGATAATCCTATTAGGATAAACGATGCAAATAAATTTGTACTTTAGAAAGTTTGATCTATTATGCATACAATGAAAAAAATATAATTAAGTAATCACCTTTGTAGAATGCCGAATACACCAATTACGTCAGCTAATTACCATTTTGCATTGAATCATAGTACATGGAACTCATCATTAACTGGAAATTATTATCTATCTTTAATGAAGTAATAAAATGAAAACCTTCAGAGCATACTGCACCGTACAGCTCTATCGATAGTCTTTCCTACATTAATAAGGCCTTTTACCTTCAAAAAGTGATAGAAGGTTCAACGCTGATTGTCATAACGTCACAACTAAGCCGATCGTTAATGCAATAGTATCTGGAATGATTCCAATAATTGAAGTAGAAATGAATCAACGCTTATGATAACTACGACATTTTACAGAATATACTTGCTTATGTTAAAGGTAAATCGCTCTATAGCCAATGCTACCACACGCTGGCGGCCAACAATGCAAAGCAAATCACATTCTTCTATCGTCTATAATAAATAAAAGCAATTACCACTACAACTATTGTTGATATTTCTTTTCTCCTGTAATGGTACAATCGATTATGCATGTTATTATTTGAAGAGAAAATCATCAGCATATGTCTATAAAATCAAACGATAACGAAATCCCATATATTTGAAGTTTACCGTTTATTTAAAGGAGGTAGTTCAAACATAACGGTGGTGGCATTTTCTTTCCGAAAACTTCAAATTCTTACCCAATATGCCGACAGAAGAAGACAATCTACCATCAACAACTTGTAGGTGATATTATTGCTTGACTAGAAACGGGAAATGTTCCTCAATTATGCCAAAATAATTTAATTTCGTCAGTTTAAAAATTTAAAGTTCCGCCGGCGATTGTGAAAGGGAATAGAATTAGTCCGGAAATTGATGTGTCAGATACTGTATTACATTATAATCAAGTAATAACAAAATACAACGCGACTAAAGCCCAAGTCAAGCCTGTTGATTAAATGTACACTTTTATCCTCAGTTATATCAAATTTTAACATAACGACCATTTTCTTTACGTTTAGCTAATAAATCTTGTAGTTGCCCAATAGAACACTGCTATCATCTGTCTAATTTAACCGTACACTACCGCTAAGCGACTGAATATTAATAAAATACAATAATATTGATAATAGTCTATAACACAAAAAGTCCGGTCGCTGTCTCTAACATACTTCAAATTAAAAATGGTAAAAATACAGTCAATATTGATCCTGTTGGTAGCTAAAGTGCTATAATAGGCTTATTTTGTAGAACGCATGTTGTTATAAAGCTATCAAGAATCTTATTTTGTCTATTGGTGTGCGCACATATATCGGGATATAACTTTTTCGTTCAACCAAGCAGTATCTTATTGGATGTAGTTGTGAAGATATCAAGGGTTAGTCTACAAATGAATAATCTTTGGGCCACCATTCTTTTAGTTGTCGTTGAAATGCCATCATAACAGTTTCGTATATGATGAATCATGATAGAGTGATAAGCCATCAATAGACTGTATTTATCTACACTAAATTGACCGAATATTGCCGTGCTTGCTCACTCTATCAAATGCTGTTTGATAGAAGTTGAAATTAGTAAGATCGAGAAATCTACTAATAACTTATGGCCTACCACTAGATTCATTAATGCTTGTAAATTGCCATAATATTAAAATGTCTTATAATATCAACGAAATACTACCATACTAGAACAGTATAAAATCGAATTATAGCAGATTAAGAATCATTTTATCAAGTCAAATTAGACTAGAAAAAATTTATAGCTTCTTTCAGTAGCAACAACATACTTGTAAAAAGTGCTTTGTAGCCTAAACTGCAGTAATATTAATTTTATCAAAAGGCTTTGTCGCGATATCTTTGATTAATAATCATGTATTACATAAGCACTAGACTATGTGCTTGTAGGATTCAGTCTAGCACAAATTAGCATTCTCACTCCACGCTAATATCTTGATCGAAGTACAGTACTTTTAATTATAGAGATAGACAGCATCGCATTCTATATCTATGATTTTAAGAGTTATATAGTAGCGAGGCTACTTTAAATACTTGCATATAATAACCAGCTTAAAGGGTATTTAATGAACAGCTATATTTAAATGTTTTCAATTTGGCATTCAGCCAAAGGCGAAGCGGCTGCTGTACCTAATCAACGTATAATTTAATTTTTATTTTGCTATAGCCATTAATAACTGCTCCATTGTCATAATCAAACTTTATTAACGTGGATATCATATGTTTTGCTTCTACCATGTGAATTATTCTAGGGACTCCTAAATATGAAGGAATCGCATTAGAAAATTCCGGTCAATTTATAGCTTGCACTAGCAATACTCACGTTGATCATGGGTACATTATTTATAGTGCGATTTATACCAAATCCTTCGATGAAGTGGATCAAAATTTAGCGGAAAGTAAGAACTGTTGATAGAATAATCAAATCTCTTAAATCTTCACTTTCAGTTTATGGTGATCTAAAGGCGATATAGTAAAACAGATAGAGATACGGTAATTACAGGCGTTATATCTAGATGGAAATCATACACTGTATGAATGCAAATTCAAAATCTTAATATTGAAAGGATTATTTACTTTACAAATTCCAATCATCAGCTCGTTACCAGGTTTGGGACATAGATAATACTTATAGCTATATTACTTTGGGATCTGATCGAAGAGCAGTCTTTGGCCTTGAGCGCAAAGGAAAAGATGATTTTAATATTATCTTTACAGTAAGTTCTGATAATGTTTTTTAACATAATATATTTTTAAATTATTTTCTACTATTTGTGTTAAAAATAATACCTTACTGATCGTAAAAATAAAACCGACGTTCAATTCTATGGCGATACATTTATTTTTAATAAGGAATCTTCAATGTGGCGATAGCCATATTAAATAAAAAATTATTAATTTTATGAGAGATATGAGCATGCTTTGTGTATAATAAAACTAAATTAAGAACCAGAATAGTAATTTTACTAACAGTACTACAAAAATTAGAAGAACATTGCTATTTGGTATAAGGAGAAGCTATCATCATCAATAGTAGTTATAGTCGTAGTTCTGACCGGCTAAAGAAAGTTATACGACTTGATAAAAGCCTTGTCTCTAAGACAGTACAGGAATGGTAATACCTAAAATATTAGTACAAAAACTAGCATTAGTAGAGAAATGATAATTATTTGAAAGTTACAAGACAGGTTGGCTGGGTTAAACGACAGAATGTACGAATACTGTTCTATTATTGTTCGTGTGTCTTATTAAAATTGCCCATAATATTAAATCATAATTGAGAAAAGAAAGAGGTCTAGCAAAATTTGATTAATCAATATAAGAGATAACGATTGTTAAAAAATCTATACTATATTAACTATAAAATCATGTAATAAAATTTCTTTTCTTGGTATACTAAATCTAAATTTTCGTCTTTGCTTCTTTATAGGAATTACCTCCATTTCTAAGTAAAGACGCTTTAGAAAAAGAAATTAAAAAAATTAATATGAATATTATTTGCTTATTCCAGCTATATACGCCAAGCCCGAATTCTGATTTTACTAAAGTTTGCTTATTAGTGAATGGTTCTACAGTTGGCGATACATCACAGCATACATCTCGAAATTCGGTATATTTCGATCAGAACGCAACTGCTCATTTATCAGATTTTGTTGTTAGTCAAATTGCAACTCAATGCGTATTGAATTTAGCTGCAGTTTAAATAGCAAATTCTTTCTATCCAGGTTTAATTCATTTATTGAATTAGTCTCATATCCGAAACAGTTTTTCTGAGCATAAAAACACAAAGGGCAATGATACTACCTGTTGGCTGCAAAACAGCTTAAATCTAATGATTTCTAGACGTTAACTCTAGCATTTGTCATCGACCAGTTTAATGATTATGTTCTCTAGATTAATTGTTACTTTTAATGAAATACAATAACCTACCCTTTATTTTAAAATTAAAAAACGTATAGCTACATCTAGTCTCGAATAGATTATGATAGTTTATACCTAATTTCATTTTAAATAACAATTTAACTGAATAATATCAAAGTTAGCTCTATAATACAAGAGCGCTAATGATCAAAATCGAATTTTCGAATGCATTATTGACATGCTGAATCTTATTATATACGTATATCACGAAAAAGCACGAAGAAAAAACGTTAACGCTGATATCATCAATGTGACTTACGGTTCAAGAAAAGATAGCCAAAGTGAAAAATCATCATCGATAAATAATTATCTTTGAATTATTCACCAGTGGATAAAGTTTCTAGCCTACAAGCTTGCTGTATTTAGTCGAACCAAAAGCATGAAGGAATATATTATCTATTATAACGTTTCATTGTTGAGTTTCTGCTAACCGACAGGCTAAACCTGGATATTCTGATTGTTATAGACAGCTAATTATCGTTTTGATTTCTTTATAACATTCTATTTCTTGGTAGACTGTTTGCTGTTATACTACTGCTGTTTAAGCCTTTCTTGCGCCTGGCTTATTATGCGTCTTATCCTTTTTAATTATCAACTACCAGATATAATTTACAATATTATCCAAAATTCTGTTTCCAGTTGATTAAAAATAGATTTTGTAGATAACTTAATTCTAAGCTATAACCTTGAATGCTACCTTGTCATCAGTTTAGCAATAGAATTCGAATGAATAGTATAGCATGGTAGGACTTTGTAACGTCTATTTCATCATTCCTTATAGACGTAAGACATTAACCCAATCATGGGCTATAATGGAAAAATTTAGATATTAATAAAATTGATTTGGGACCTTGTAAATCAGCGTTTTCTGTAAAATAATGAATAAGGTATTATAATAACCTATTGATTAATTGTGGTAAAATAGACAATTAAAAGCAATGCCATTTAGAGCATACAATTAAATTGATGGCATCACAATAAGTAAACGACAAAACTATTGCCAGAAGTATAAATAGCGGTTAACAAGATTGTTTATTACAAATGATGTAATCTAAAGTTAAGGTTGGAATAGTCACGTTGACTAGAATAGCCCTGAATCCATGAATATACATTAGCTTGAATGCAAACTCACCTATGAAAGATAAAAGTAGTGTTATACAGCTATTAATTTGCGCAATATGAAATAATTATCGCGGTATATGGGCTGTTAAAGGATAATGTTATTTTGATCAATGGAATGATAGATACGGTCAAGACATGTGAGCAAGTCCATATTGGTATCGGATAACAAAAGCAACGGTAAGATAAAAGAGAATTAGTACAATAGTCTACGTTGATATTTTAGGGCGGAAGAGAACTGTAAAACAAGCTATAATTAAGGGAGAATTATAATGCAGTGGGTCCATATTAAGGACTAAACATACTGATCAGTTCAATATACCAATAGCATGTAATGTCGCTAGCATTGTATTAGTGTTTATGCACATTAGTTGATATTGATAAATATTAACAGAGAACTGCTTACGTATACAGTCCGTTTTAGATATTCAACATTGCTAAATATTTGAAGACTGCCAACACTTATACACTAAAGAGTGTTTAAACTATCATAGATTAAGATCATATCTATGTAGTGTATGCTGTAATCCCTTTGCGGCTGCTGGAATTTTGATAGCTATAATCAATAGAGATTTAAACAAATCCATCTTAAGAAAGTAATAAGTTTGGCAACAGGATTAGACTCTAGGTTATGAAATCAATTAACTCTTAATTAATCTAATGACTTTATTAATGTAGTTACTATTGGATATTTTATTATTGTAGTGCAAGTGTTGCAAAATTTTTCATTTTATATTTTAATAACTATAGATAGAGCTGCAGGTGCTCAATTAGGTTACTGACAATCCACCAGCAATCTTCTCTCTGATTCCTAATTTTGCTTAATTCCATATACAAACAGTTTCAGTGGCAATAAAAGCTTAGTAAACCAAAGCTATGACAACAATTAACGATTTCCAAGGTTGTATTGAGATAGTTTTAGAATGAAATCCTCTTGTTTACTCACAAATTTACCGCTGTTAGCTCAACAGTCTCGAATTCTATAATGTAAGTTGGATTGAATGAAATATTAGTAAGTAGTACGAATCGAATGCGTAATGTGGGGCCTTTTAAATTTTATAGAATTCATTCTTCAGGAACTGAAAGAATGCAAGATCTTAAGTAGACCTTTAATTATTAAGGTTATTATCTGTAATACAATGATTATCATACGCGCATTGGATGCATAGATAGATCTTATGCAATATATATAGAATAAATTTACAATCATCTACGTAACAATTTATAGTAATATCGTGATACTGCTTTCTTGTGTAGTATTTACCACAGAAGAACTTTAATTAAGCTATTAAAGAGCCTGTTCTCTGTAATATTTTAATAATCATACGCACATCTAACGCATAGATAAATCTTATTCGATGTATAGAACACATTTCCATTCTAGATATAATAATTTATAGTTACTCCCTAATTTTGCTTTCTTTCGGAGTGTTTACGTTAGAAGATCTGTATGCATGGAATTTAACAGCTTAGTACAATTCTATCCGTCTTTTGTTTCAATCCATTAAAATAGACTGCTCTTGTCCTTGGGAATTTAGGTGGAACAACTTAGCGATATCCAAATATGGTAAGGATAAAACTGTTTCACAAAAATTTGGATAACTAGAAAAATGCCGCTTTAAATGTAAAGGTCGTTGGAATATGTATATTGAATATACCGTAACATATATAAGGCACAATCTGATCGTCATTTCTTCAATTTGGCTGCAACTCCATTTGTAGTGTTCCTAGAAGCCAATCCAATCTTAATCATCAGGTATCCTTCAAATTTTTGGATCATTGCCAAATTTAACCTATTGCACTAAATTAAAAAATGCTACTCTATTCTATCTCCATGGGCCACGTACAAGTACTGCAAGGTAAATCCATAATATATCAGGTATTATTAATAATTTTAAGCTAACTCCTACGACTGAATAATAATTAACTATCCTTCTATTCAGATAGTCTAAAACAGAAGAAGACAAATATACTTTTTCTGCGTGTTTAAATGTCTCTAGTGAATTACTAAATATGCAATATACGCGTAAACTTTTCAATTGTTTTAAACGAGAAATCAATTAAATTAATATATTTACAAAAATATAGTAAAATTTAGATTGCTTTAACTGTACGATATTACTAGATAAACAGAAATAGCGGAAGCAGTACAATTTTATTTAATCAAGATGAGTCCCAATCTATATCATGAAATTTAACTGATCTTCCTTTAATTTTGTGTTGTCTCATTAGCCATAGCTTTGTATAACTCGTTCTTAAAGTATCCATTTCTTTTCTACGCAGAACGGAAGAATTATCATCATTATTTTGCTACAATTGTCGCAAACATAATTGAATTTTCCAGGCTCTTTTTTAAGATCGTTCGCAAGAGTAAGAACTTTTAATCTTATTGGTAGCATTATCAAATGATGAAGAAAAATAGAGAACAGAGTAGACTTCAAAAGCAATAAGTTATTAATACGAAGAATGTTTTAATTTTAGGTTATACCAATGCTGTACAGAGATTCAGTGTTACTCCGAAAAAATTCTTGGTGAGATCAATCGGCGGCTACGTAATAAGTAAAAGTGAAAAGGATACTCTTGGGCCATTCGTTGTGTACAAATCTAATCTGATAGACGGATTAGATGGCATTGATGGACAGGCTGAATTTGGTAAATATCTGAAATTGATCATTCTACTGTACTTTAGATTCGACTTTTAATCAAATTGGGACGGAAGTTACACATATTTCATATAAATACTAAGCAGAAATTTTGTCCTTTCAATTTACAGCTAAATTTGAAATTGAAGAATACGACAATTCCTATTGGGCTCTTGTCTTATTATCTGATAACAAACGTGTACTTGGTTTAAAAGAAATAAAGGGCAACAAATATGAATTGCTTTTTGTGGTAAGTTAGAAGAAGAGAAATAATTTGCGCGAGTCTAACACTCAATGCTTTTAATTGATCTATAGATAAATTGCATAAAAAATAATATTTAGATCAGTTTAATCAAGAGCTCGTGTAAATTTAAATTTTAATTTCGTACTTGACTAGAATATTGCAATGCAATGAAAAAATATCTAAGCCAATTATGGAAGTTTCATGCTGAAATAACATAAATGAGATAATCTAAATGATCGCTTTCTATTTTTTTACTATGATACAGGAAGTCAATGAAGATATGAAATCATTTTCAAAACAATTGAAGGAAGTGAAAAAAAGCAACTGGCATTAACTTGATCACGGAATTCATCTTCGAATACAGCAAATCAGATGATGGATCAACTGAATTAAACCTTATCGAAACACAAAGTGGCAGTAAGAAGGTCGTTTGCTTTAATCCTGATGGAACAGTCCAATTTATCAATCTAAAAGATAATTATCTTCCGCCTGAAAGTAGAGTGTATTTGGTCGAGGATTAAATCATTCTATAAGTAATGACAATTAATCTATAAATCTTGAGGCGTCTAATATCCTCTTAATCATTCGCAGCAGGGAATTAAGGCAATGAATTGCAGTTTTCCGGCATTTACATCTCATTTATGGTCATTACAGACTAAATCTTGAAGCCGTAGATTATCGTTGCAATAGTTTAAGTTTCTACCATCTACATTTGATTTTAATTACAAATTTACATTATCAATTCTATAAAATAAATTCACCCATTATGAGATAAATAGATTTACTGCTAGTTCCTTGCAAATGAACAGAAGGCTGGAATGGTCTGACTGGAAAGATTTGGCTCAGAGTAAAATTTTTTAAGCGGTAATGTCTGTGTTGTTTTCCATAAAATACTGTTAATGTTGTAATTTATTTTCCTTTTATCTAGCGTAGCTACCTGTAGCCTAAGCTATCAGACGATAAAAAGTGGACAAAATTTTATCGAATATCATTATTTTATTGCGCCGACATTAATAGTCAAATCTCTAAATTTCTTGTAATTACATTGCTCAACTGGCAGCAAATGCCTACAAATTTAGTTGAATCGAAGCATTTTTGTGCATAATACTAGAATTAATTTCCAAACATGGTAATACTTTCTGTTTTTCTTTTATAATTGATCATAAAATGGTTCAATGCTGCGAAGTACACATAATAAAAGTGTGATTGAAATTTTAAATTTCGGGTCTAATTTAAATGCCTACTTTGTCTTACAGTCCTCTGTTAAACTGTATTAGTGCCTTAATAGACTTACTGTACAATTTTTAGGTAAACTATGTTAGATTTCATTATATTTTGAGAGAAACTAATTTAAAACAAGTTCACAATTACCGCTAATTAAAAATATTACTTATTAAAGCAAAGATTGCACATACTAACTATCAAACTAAATCATTCATAGTGACGGTACTGTTAACTTATTTCAGCCAAAGCTGATTAACTTTATATACTCGTATGTAGTAACGGTTATATGATGCCTGCCTTACTTACGTTACGAGTTTTGACCAATTTCCAATTATCCACCCTTGTAGTTTGCTTTTAAGCTAGGAAAAATCACGTAAATGATCAAACTGCACGCATAGTTTATTATTGTGGATCTAAATATTTGTCTTGTTATTAATTATTTCCTAATTGTTCATCGCTGTAGTTTATTTTTAAGAAAAAAAAAATCATAAAAAGGATTAAATGCAAGTCCTGTAGCTTTTTATTGTGGATCTATATGTTTCTTTAGATAAAGACTAGTTCCTAATTATTCACTCTTGCAATTTTTCCATCAGCTAGGAAAAGTTATATAAGTGATTACTTGCATTAATAATTTGTTTCTGTTGTAGATCTATATGTTCTTTTAGCAATTGACCATATCCTAGTTACATTATTCACCTCAATAATTCATCTTTAAGCAAAGAAACCTAGCATAAATGATTTACTTATACGCATTAATCTACTTTTAAGCCAAAAATATAGCATCAATGATAAACTACATATATAATTTGTTCTTATGGTAGATGCATAGATCAATCTAGCTAACTTTCACTGTAAATGAACCTGATGAACTTTCATAAGTATTATAAAAAGGTTTGTAATTATTTGGAGTTTAAATTGCAACTCTTTTAATTTATTTCCTATCCAATGAATTTTGAGTTGACTTGACTGTAAACAATGTCTATATTTACGAATCCTCTAGCTCTTTATGAACTAGAAGCGGTTCTAGGAGATTATCTAGCGAGAGTGGCGTTGAAATCATTAGCTTGTTCATGACTATTTAATTATTTAACAAAAAATCCATCAACATCATCGATATCTTTGCCTATTTAGTTCTTTCCTTTCGTTCTTCATTTTTCTCTATATTTATTCTCTGTCAATCACTATTTCTCTTCGTTTAAAGGATATATCCATATGCCTTCATATTAGTTGCGCAAATCCATTCATTAACTTTAATAACATATCTATAATTCTCCTATAAAGCGATCAAAGTTTTAAAAGGATGAAAAGAAATGTAATTACCCATTTAAAACATCGGTAGCCAACTGTTTGCACAAGACCAAAAGCGGCAGAAAATTTAAATGAAAACATTTTTCTTTAATTTTAAATCTCATCTAAGAATCTAATGAAGGATGAAATGTACGCAATATCGAAGATAATGCTAATCTCGATAAAAAAATTCCTTTACGTGCTTTTAGTATACGTAATGTTAGCCATATTAACGATAGAGTGTGAGTTGTATTATATTATTATTTAATGATTCTTTTAACTTCCCTAGATACCTTTCTCAGATTGAGGTTATTTTCGAAAATAAAGTAACCGACTAACTTACTGCTACGCCTGCTAATAATAAATCCTATAGCTTTTTTTGCCAAATTTGAATATGCTATATATTTAATGTCAGTTATGATTCATCTAGCTAATTTACAATCGAACCATGAAATTGATGTTATCCTATGACCATTTAAGACTATAGAAAATTATTTTCCTATTTACTAATGAGGAAGTTTGATACATCATCAGCAGTTTTCCATTTGCTGCTAGCTAGATAGTATTCTTCACATAGTCTGTGTTAATTCATTATTTTTGCGACAGTTTTTGACATAAATCGGGATTGTATCACTGCTATACTTATCATGATCTCATTACTGGCTTAAAATAGGATTAACCAGTATGCGGATAAATATACTAATCTAATTCTATTTCAGTATCAAGTGATAGTTATATTAAATTAAAATTAAAGCAACTTTAGGTGCTGTTATACTCGCAAAGGGAAAATTGACCGCCTACGACTAATTACAAACAATTAAGTTTTGGAAATATTGACACAATTACGACATTTCACAGTGATTTTTTCTCCTAACTTTATTATTTTATAGACATGCCTTTTTTCAGCTTCGTAAAAAGGAATTCAATAAAACCAATTAAATTAGATACAATGTTAAGCGTAGAATAGAAATAATCATACGCCCGTATTTATTGGCTGTCGGTCATTAAAATGATCATCGATCTTAACGTTATCATGCGATGTATATCCTCTGTTTCTGACCATTGTAGTTTGCAAGTATGTGACATATTTAGAACATTAAATAAAATTAGCACCTAAACTACTTTATTTACGTTTACTATACAAATTATTCCAGAAGAAAAGAAATTAAAATAAGGCAAACGAATTTCTAAAATATCTTGTTATTTATTAAAATAATACGCGTATTATTTCGTTACGCAAATATTTTGAAAAATTATATGCTATTCTATTACTGCCGTATTGATCTTTTAAAAGCCTTGTACTGAAATACTTGGAAATGAAATTATTATAAATAGAGGGTCGTTCCTTTCTAATTTTGCCTTTTCAATCAAGATTTTAATTAGCGGGTTAAGTAGATCAATTTCGTCGCCTATCTCCTTTAACTTTACTTGGTTTGATATCAGCTTACTTTCTGTACCAAATTAAACAACATGGAAAATTTTTCTAAAGGTAAATTGGTTTACTATTTAGTTTGTACCCCAAAAAAGTTGATCCATTATTTTCTAAAGATAAGCTAATTTGGCAAATCGTAACTAATTTGGCTAAATTAATAGTAAATTGCTCTTACTGCTGCTGATTTTAATCAAGTAACCTTCAATTTCTTTAAAAATATATAGATGAATCGTATTATTTAACATACCTTGTCAACAATGATCAACAGCATTTCAAATTGCACTTTTTATAAAATGAAGGCAGATTGAATACTACACTTTTTAGGAAAAATCTTACATGTATAATTATGAATTTATGAATTCAGTGCATTTCAGTTGCAATATAATAGCTGATTAAGCAACATGTGGCTTGATATGATAAAAATATCGTTTCAGAATTTGCCAGCACCCAAACAAAAGTATATCTTAATTCGCTGGGTTATTACTTAGCGCAAAGCGACCACGAATTTAATTTCAAGCATCTTACAGCGTATACTGCTAAATATGCTAAAGGATTGGATGAACTTGAGGAAAAGCCCAGCTGCGGTAAATACTATTCCTAACAGCTATAGATTAATAATTGAATTGAAACAGTTTCTTATTACGCAGAGCCTGATCAATTTCCAATTTATCAATCAAACCATAGCTCAATTTATATTCAAATCTGAGGACATAGCTAACTCTGTGGTTATTCTAACTTCTGATCCCAAATTGATGATGTGCATGAAGAAAATAAAGAAATCTGAATATGAGTTGATCTTTGTGGTAAGTTTACAACGAAAATAATCTACCGAGTAGTTAGGTATATCTGCAGTATTTTACTTACTAAGACAAGATACTATGGCGATATCAGTGAATATATACGATTATTTATTGTCTTACAATAATCATCAAGTTATAGTTAGAGACGCTACAAGACCTTTGCTAAATGATTTAGACGAAAAAATGGCTCAATTTTGTGTTATGGGAGTCAAATTTTTCTGCAACTGTTCATTATTACAGTACGTAAATATATTGTTACTATTATTTCTACGGAAGATTAAATTTAATATAAAAGACGGTTAATAGGTTTATAATCATATTCTGCAAATATATAGTAAATGGAATCAAATTTTTGGAGCTATTACGCTGCTTATTATAACATAGCAAAATATCATTCTATGGTTCTGTATATCGAAAATATATTTTATGTTATGATTTTAGTAGTAGTCTGCTAGCTATGTAATAATATCTCTCGAATAAGTGCCATTGATCAACATAAGAACTTTTAGTCGTTTACACGGCCATTTTATGATCTAAAATGATTAATTGGTGGTTTACAGAAACTGAATGACGATATAAAGACCGTTATAGAAACCTTTAAGAAATGGAATAGAGAAAACAAAGATTTTATTCTTTGGGAATTTATTATATATTCCTCTGAGCCATATAGCCCAAATCACCCATATTGTGAATCGACCGAAGTCCAATTGTTAGTTAATATAAGTGATGGTAAAAAGTTGCTATGCTTTTATACTGATGGGAAAGTTCTATTAATTAATGAGAATTTGGGTTTCATGCCAGTTGAAAGCAGTATAAGAATGGTCAAGATTTAATTGTGATGAGTCAGTCATCGAAAATCAATTAAGAATAAATTGTTATTCCATAGCGGCAGCTTCTAAATAATGTTCTGGACAAATCATAATGATTAAAAGATTTAGACTTCTTGTTTCATGTGTTGGTAATAATTATAAACTGTATCGGCTACTTTTAGTTACGCTGTAGCATTATTGCATGGATATATGGCATGAATTAAATAATTTACTCAGTAAAATTTGATTTATCACTTTAACTTATTATATCCTAGAGAAATCATTATATAGAATTAAACTATTGTATCCTAATTGTTCTTCCTTCTTTGCAAACAAACCTCCAGTCATCTACCTCTTAAATTGCAAGACAAACTTGTTCTTAATTTGGTACTTTATTAGTTAGTTCTGCTAGATAATCAGCAAGCTTGTATGCTTTATCTATTTTACTTTACTAGCATTATTCTATCAGATTACATCTTTTTGGGATGTTATAACCCGGTTTCTTAATCAAAACTATGCTAATGACCATTTTTTCTCGTATTTATCTTTTTTCCCCTCAATGTTACACTACACTCGCAATCTGCAGAAGCATCATAATCAATATAATGAGTAATAAAGTCCGTAAGTCTATTATTAAGAATAAATTGTACGGATAATCCTGAAATACAAACTGTAACAATTATGGTTCATCTTAATGGGCAATGGAAATAGATCATAACAGTATGATCAACTATTGTACAAGTCTAGATATCTAAAATGTTTGTAAAAATGATAATTATCTTACCCACTTTTTAATTCTTTGCTCGTTTTTTCATAGCAAAGTATAAAATGGTGGATATTATTCTAGCTTACGAGTCTGATACCTTAAATGAAAAACTTTTGAATCCTGATTGCTGTTTATATTTTTAATACCAGTTGCCTTTTTTAACATAATTTCGATCTGAAAATCTAATTACTGATCTACACTATACAAAGTTTTATATCAATAGGGTGTACGTTTGTAGAGTTTGCTCTAATTATTTTCTTCAAATTCAATAATAAAATCTTACTTTTGTTATGCTATTAGTGAATGTTGTATTTTAATTCTATTTTGATGAGAGAATCGAATTCTTATATGACTAGTTGTTACTATGCTAACCTAGTAACAATTACACTAAGTTCATCTTTTAATAGCAGCAAAATGTTAAAATGTATTGCTAGTTAGTCAATTAGTTTGATATGATGAAGGCGAATATAGCGCACTCTGCATAATCAGATATTCTTGTTTAATCCATAAAAGTGCAATGTAAGTCGGTAAATGAGATCTTAATCCAAGCAAAAACGATTTATATAATGAAGATAAAAGAGAAAAAAATAATAAATCGTCTACCATAGGAAATATTTCATATTTGTAAGAATAGGACAAGTATTTGTCCCACTTGATTCTGTAGACATATCTGCTCTTATTAAAGAGAGTGTAATCAAATCGACTAATTAAACAGCCACCTCGCCATAATAAAAATTACATAAGCGTTTGAATTTTCTTTAAATATGAGAAGTATGTAAAGTTCTACCTTTCAAAGTAGATATAGTATGGCTGTAAATATTCTTCTAGTCTAAAAGTTGGACAAGCTATTGTAGTAAAGGACTAAAAGTAGAGTACTTTATAGCTTTTAGTACGTAACTAGTACTATTTTACTATAGAAAATACCTAGAAAGTGAGAGTGTTTTAAGTTTTACCCTGCCAAATCATCATGTCGCTATCTTTTCTTCTTCATTATTTTACAAGGTATTATATAGATTACTATAAAAGTAACCCGAGAGCAATTGCCTAACCTAAAGAAAGGGCGTTTGATCGTCTATTCAAGTTGTAAAGGAATTTGACTTAGTAGCAAAACCCTATCCTTAGAGAAAGNGGGATTTATAATATGACGGTAAAGTAC